GCAGAATGCATTTTTTCCAAGAAAAAGAAAATGAGACTAGAAGGAATAAAAATTGTAGGGATTTATGAGCAGGTATGGCACTTAACTTGATACATTTTTTTTAAATGACATTTTAAAGTAATAACCTTTAAAATGAAAAGATGATGATGTACTGCCTGATCAGGAAACTCATTACAATCTAGATCAAGGGATTATACTTTGATTTGTCAATCTGAACAAAACAGATACATTTTTTCTAATCTACTCTATCATTGAAGCGTATTTATGCCATCTACAATCTTATTACTTTCCTGTAATTTAGGGATACTTTAAATCATGGAGATTTATCTTAAACACTGTTTTTTTTCAGAGCTATAAAACCAAAGCAAGCCAGCCAGCCTGTTGTCCAAAAGCAGCAAATTTGAACCATTAAAATTACAATACAATCAAAAGGGCACTGCACATTATACTTGTTAAGATTCATGCTTTAGATATTCTATCAGAACAAAGGAAAAACATGAGACTGATTTTTTTTAAAAGGATTTTGATGAGAATACATAGTTTGGAAGGAAGTAGTTTTCAGCCTTGAGGCAGTACAAGACTAATTGCTATTTTTATTTTAAAATAAAAATCAAACGCGTTATTTCTACAACTGCAAGCTCCTGACGTTATGACTACAGATTACCTACAGACTTCTCTTCACTGTTTGGCACCAGTGGAAGGTGACAAATGCCAGGTACTTTAACAAAGTGGAAATATTATTTTAGGTATTCAAAAAAGACTGCAAAATACCTTTGGAAGTCTATCTCCTGTCACATGCACATCTGAAAATCTTAGTTTTCACAAAGCCACAAGTTCTTGAAGTCTACGTTAATTTGACTAAACACAACAGGACAGGTTTAGAGCACACTTGCTGCATTCAGTCCCGTTACTATTCATATTTACTTCTGAAATTAAGTAACTTCTGGCTGTAAATAGGACATTTTCTAAAGGGGCTGAAGAGCAATACATTTTCCACAGAGGTTCCAGAAACACAAAAACCCCCTCTGGTTAATGGTTCAATTTGTCTTTTTCAAAAAGCCTTACTTATTTTCCACTTGCATAAATTCCATCCTTGGAATGCCATAGTTGATTACTCATTATTTAAATTTACTTTGGAAATTAAACTCCAGCGGAATTATCCAATGCATGCCAGAGTGAAAATCTCCAAAGTTAATTTTAGCCTCATGTGTGTTAAGAAATCTTCAAGATTCTAGTTCTTAACTGCCTTTTAATATGAAGAACTACATATTCAGCAAAGTCTCTGTATTACTTGAAATGCAAAACCTCTTCCAAGCTAATATCAAAAATTGGATCTATAATCTTTAAAAGTTTTATAAACGCAGCTTCTCAGTTTTTCTCCAATATATTTAACCTTGGTCACTCGACAAGTGAGTCTAAGCAAACAGACTTTTTGCCACATTTCAGCTGCTTCCAGCATTACGTAAACTTCAACATGAATAGGAAGAAAAACGAGGCAAGATTCTATTCAGCCTGATGAACAGCTGTGCAAGTTGGCTGGTTTTTTGTGTTGTTTTTTTTTTTAAATAGATATATATACATACACACAGAGAGTTTTCAAGAAGTCGATTATGACAGATATGTCACAGAGCAGCCAAAAGTCATCACTGGTAACCGTTTGGCAAAATCACATTGCCCATGTTGGACTAAATTACAGTAATTTCTAGCCCATGATTCTAGGGCATTTTCAAGATAGAGAGTTTCATTAGAAGATTTGCATCCAGTTCTTACTGTTTTCAAAGAGACTTCGATAGTATCTGGAACCACACAATTTACCAGTAAAAGGAAATCTTCAGGGGAAGTAGCCTATATTTGATTTTACGTAGCTTGCCTTTCATGATAAAGGCAGGCACAAAGCATGCAGCAATGGATCTCCTGACTCTCTACCAACACTACTTCACCAATTCTCTTGCAGACTTGAGAGATAAGGGGTTGTGCCTTGAAGTATATTGTCAGAGATACATTAGGGCTCAACAGATGATTTCTGGATTTCAATGGAGGAACATAGAGAGAAACTTATTTTCAACACCAATTCAACTTAGAAAAAGAATTTTCACTGCATCTATTTTAAAAGCCTTTATATCATAATTGTCTGCAAAACACTTGTCAATCTTGGTTTAGATCAAAGTGGAATTAAATCCAGTTTTTTGTCTTAATATAGCTGCACTCACCCTTCACAGAGAGAACAAAGTTCTCTCAAAACACAGTAGAGCAGCATGAATGGAATGCTGATTGTACTTTATTCTCCCTCAAGTACCTCTTTGAAACCCAGGAAAGGAAAAGTGGGCAAATAGGAAGTTTGTAGTATAAATGACCCATTCTGCAAGTGGCATTCACTTGGTTGCTCGTCAAAAAGAAGAATTTTATGTCAATTTCCTTATCTGAAAGCTTAATATTAATTTGACTTAATGAGTGCCAATTGTAGTTGGAACATATATCATCCCGGAAATCTTTACAGTCCCCATGGGCTTCACTGACACTGGTGATCTTCATTACTACTCCACAGAATGAATTACCTCTTCAGTTCCATGAAACTCAGGGAATGGAGAACGATTTTCCAAATAATGTTTTTAAAAGTATTCAGCACCTTAAGACAAGATAAGACCCCATGCAACACGACACAGACTAGAAAGAGTGATTTTTGTTAGACAGCTCAGCATGAAGAACACTGCTGCTTCATGGAGCAAAGGTTTTTTGGAGCAGCTTTTTATGGACAGCTGAGTGTCGCTGGTGCGCGGCTTTAAACCTCTATTGGAGGACACATTCTCTCAAAGTTTGGGTGCATATGGAAGAGAAGGACAGAGAAAAAAGAGCAAACATAAAAAACATATTGTTAAAGTTGTTTGCTGGGTGCCTTAGATTCAAGCTTGGTACATACCAGAATGTGTTCCTAATTTCAGAAGAGCTGCTGATACAGTTAAAATAACATTATAGCACTTTTTTTTTGTTGAGAATATATAACCTAGTACTTTCACTTTAGTAAGCACAAAATCTGATGGGAATATTGCTTCCAGAAATACTTCAACTTATGCAATCACTATTCAACCAAGGGAAAACAGTAAGAAAAAGTGTGCAACTATCGCACACTGTTTATATTCTTTAAAGAATTTGGCACATGGAGGCACTCCTTTACATATTTCAGAAAATGCATGAACAGTTTGGGTAGATCACTACCAGGAATTTTACACATTTTAAAACCCACTAACATAACAGAGGCGACATGGCAGGAGAAGGATGTTCATCCAGTGATCAGATTCTGAACAAGTTCAAGTGATAACTCGCTGCCCTGACATAGATGAAATAAACCCTACATATTATTGCTAATGTAAACTTCTAGTCTCAGAAAGCATCCTGTTGGGCTGACTGTTTCTTTTTATAAACATTCTTCTCCTCTTAGTTCACTGTTTTAATTTTTCAACTATTATTTTATCCTAGTTGCGTATGTACTATAGCCTCTTCCTTGCCAAAGGAGAAAAGCTTTCATGTAAGAACAGACTTAATATTATGTAAGAACAGACTTAATATTTGTTAAAGATTATTCTTCAAATGTTACCCCCAAGATACAGAACAGTTTAAGAACTCAAAGTTAATATTGTCAGAAGTGTTTCTAATTACACCCAATAAAGCATTGTGAAAAATCCCAATGTCAGCATTTTAACTCAAAATAGCCTTGAAGAAATAACTTAAAAGAATTTTTGCCTTCAGTTCAACATCAAGGTAAAGACTCCACAGTTCAGCAAACAGCCAGAGAATTTTGTCGAAGAAACTCATTTTTGTTGGCTGATCTAAGAACAAGAACCAGTATACTTCACTGAACGCCCAAGTTACACAGACAATCAAATTTAAATTAGAAACCATCTGAAGTCTACCTGTCAGAGCATAGTAAGGTCCTAAAAGACCTTCAACACTTCACAGTCAGATTCTTACCGCTCATGAAAATAACCACTCTCTGCCTGGAACTGTTTGCATGAACAAGACCTGCATGTGTAACACTGGAGGCGCTTTCAGGAATAAGATAAAAAGAAATGGTAGTATTCTCCGTAGACTGATCTAACCCTTTTTCACCCTGTGACTATGAATGATCACTTCTGTAAGGAACTCTGCACTCCAAACCATGTGATCTATCTAAATATTTACACTATGAACACTATTAAAACTCTCCTCTGAAGCCATTGAACATGGTATTTTCAGCAAGTGAAAGAAAACCATTACTATTTAGATTATTATTTAGTTTTAACTGTTCTTATCAGGCAGAAGCTGAAATGACTGCCCTCCTCAACCGGTCTTCGTAACTCATGAGAGCCACACAGCTGTGGTTTTGGCTGAATGTACTTTAAAATGTCAAATACCTACTTCCTCTCTGTTTTCTAAAGGAAAAAAGGGAGGGAGAGGGGCAGAGAGAGAAAAAAGAGGGAACCTAATTAGGACTTTTTTTTGTTTTAGTTACTATTTGTAACATTGGCACACAAATTAGCAACCATGCACCCAAAAGGCTTTCTGTTCATCTCTCTGGCCTCTGTAGCAATCTGCTTTTTTTCCCCTCCCCAAACTATTACCAACGCTCTGCTTTCATGGCTTCCTCTGTGCCCTCTAGTCCTGTAAACTCTATACTGATGAAGATGCAACCACAACAATCTTTTAATCAACGTACTTTTTCCTATGCTAGAATAAGAATAGATTGCCCCCAGTAATCAACTGGGAAGTATGCTTCGAGCCTACTTTTGCTCTAACTTCAAAATAAATCTGTAAACTATATTTAAACTTTGGGAGAAAAAGAGAACACCTTATGTAAAAAAAAATACTCTGGGTAGAGAACAAACCATAAAACCATATACCTCTCACATTTTGTATATCATTTCAGATTTGTATGTTCTAGAGTACCTATCAAATGGAGCCCAGTATCTACTTAGCAACACAAGAAGCTGTCAAGGAAGAAAATTACAGTAAAAATCAATACTTACAGCCATAATTAACTCAAAAGGGTGTTTGTACACCCGTACGGGGGACTGATACTTCTGCACCATAGCTGCAGTTAGCAAGATCAACTCAAACCTGAAAAAGAAATTTTTAAAACCATCTGTCAAATGCAGGAAGGCATTTTCAATCTTCTCTTACAATTATTCTGGGCACGATACCATGCTAGCAATTGTGAAGAAAATCCTCCACAACTCCTTGATGACTTTTTTTTTGAAGACGCAATGAGGCCCTGAAAAGCTATGTATATTTTTGTCAGAAATGACTTATCATTTCTTCCAAAGGCAACACAAAATTAGCACATTTTCAGTCCAGTTTTAGTAACAGATCTTCAACACACTTTATGACTCTTCTTCAGGATGGCAAGACTTCCTGCGCTGCTGCCGAGAACCAAACACTGACACACGCCAGCTAAGGCAGAACAGCACTGCCCAGTCCTCCAGCATGGGAAGTGGGCTGCCTTGCTTATAGGTCATCCTGACTTGGGACTGGTTTAAAAAAAACAAACAAACAAACAAAAAAACCCCCAAAATACAAAAAGGAGGCTAAAAAAAAAATATGCCAGGTGTTAAAACCCCTTGTTTTCAGAAAGAGAAAAAAAAAAAGGATCACTATAGCACACTGCTGTAAGGCATCCTTCATCATTTCCAAATAAAATTTAATTAAGATTTTTGAGAGAGAAACTGAAGAGATAGCTGGAGAGAAAAACTGAGAGAAACTACAAACATTCCAGTAGATGGCCAGAAAAAATTCACTACCAATACAGACAGGAGCTATTCCAATGGCTTCGTGTCAGCTTTTCCCAGCAAAGTGTTTGACTCAAACTCTCTTGAATGCCATTACGTTTATTATAAAATGCTGGCAGTAGTACTTGCAGATGAAACCCCGGGCTGCTAGCCAGGCTCATTTTTAGCGAGAAGCGGCTTTATGACAACAAGTTAGTATTATTTTCATTTTTTTAACGTGTTCTCACGTTATCCACAGTGCTTCTGGAAGGCGTTACCAACTCCAGCCGAGGAGCGCGGCAGATGGGCACCGCGGCTTCTCGGGGACGAGAAGCAGCCAGCGATAAATTAAAGAGTCACAAGAAAGTTCACCCGACATCCTATTCAAAAGAGGAACTTACCCATGACTACTCGGCATTTAAAAAAAAACCCAACACCAAAAAACACCTGAATCAGCACAAAAAGCCGCAAACCCTCTCTAATCCGTGGACAAAAAGAGTTACACAACAAAGAAACTCAGTGTTTCTCTCCACCGCTCGCCGGGACCGCGCCGCCCTCGCCCCGCCGCGCCCCTTCCGGG